TTATTTAACACACATACTTTTTTACATTTCAAATTTGCACCTAACATACCTGTACATATTAAATTGTCTATATTGTATATTGCGTTTGTGCTATTTTGCTCATGGTCTATTTTGTATATTATTATCTTTATTATCTGTGTCCTATCTTGTTTGCTGTCATTCTGTCGCACTGTGGAGCTTCTGTCACTAAAACAAATTCCTCGTATGTGTAAACATACTTGCCAATAAAGCTCATTCTGATTCTGATTGATCAAGTAAAATTGCTTATGGGATTTCCACCCTGGCATAAAAAAAATGCTATTTCAACAAGAGGTTAAATGAGATGTCAATGGGGTAACATGGGGTTCACTGCCACCTTGGACATCCTTCTGGCTCTGCCAGTGGTTGAGTTGGTCTTCCAGAGGTTAAAGTTTAGCCAGTTTAACTGATGCCCATGTTAAAGGGATAGTTCTTTTTATTTAACACACATACTTGTTTACATTTCAAATTTGCACCTAACATACCTGTACATATTAAATTGTCTATATTGTATATTGCGTTTGTGCTATTTTGCTCATGGTCTATTTTGTATATTATTATCTTTATTATCTGTGTCCTATCTTGTTTGCTGTCATTCTGTCGCACTGTGGAGCTTCTGTCACTAAAACAAATTCCTCGTATGTGTAAACATACTTGCCAATAAAGCTCATTCTGATTCTGATTGATCAAGTAAAATTGCTTATGGGATTTCCACCCTGGCATAAAATACTGTTCGGTTTCTCGCACAGACCGATCATTTCGTGTCTTAGGACATCAATGTGTCGTCACGAGCTGCAGGGTTTAATTTGGATTTGTCTGTGCATGTTTTTTTTACACTCATAGACTTTGTTACCATTGCCATGCATTATACGACTGATAGACTGCAACGGCTGGACTTAAAAATCATCAACTGTCGCACTGTGGAGCTTCTGTCACTAAAACAAATTCCTCGTATGTGTAAACATACTTGCCAATAAAGCTCATTCTGATTCTGATTGATCAAGTAAAATTGCTTATGGGATTTCCACCCTGGCATAAAAAAAATGCTATTTCAACAAGAGGTTAAATGAGATGTCAATGGGGTAACATGGGGTTCACTGCCACCTTGGACATCCTTCTGGCTCTGCCAGTGGTTGAGTTGGTCTTCCAGAGGTTAAAGTTTAGCCAGTTTAACTGATGCCCATGTTAAAGGGATAGTTCACCCAAAAATGAAAATGTGATGTTTATCTGCTTACCCCCAGGGCATCCAAGATGTAGGTGACTTTGTTTCTTCAGTAGTGGGTGAACTATCCCTTTAACTTGTAACTTCTATGCAGGATGTGAAAGGCTGCTGCCACTATTCTAATTAAATTTTCACACTACACAATGTTGGTATTATTGTAAAGATGAAAATAAGGGATTTCATTACCAGTAACAACAGAAATCTATTTAACAACAAAAAAAGTCTTCCAAACGGTATCAAAACGATAGCAAATTCAAGGGGCTTACATCTGCATGATTTGTATAGGTGTATCTTTAAGTGTGTTGATTTTAAATTACACTTCAAAAATTAGATGTCCTCCTCCACAGCGAATATGCAGGTTATTTCTGAAACCGCTTTATCTTATAACCCTCTTACTACACTGAGGAACACTGCAGTTGCTTTCGAGAATGAGTTTGCAAGTGATGTTTCAGGCTTTTGGTGTGAGGAGAGTTTCACCGATCACAAAGACGACATGTAAGGTCTCTCTCCAGTGTGAACTCTCGTGTGGACTTTCATGTTGTGTTTTTTAGCAAAACTCCTTCCACAATGAGGGCAGGTGAAAGGCTTCTCTCCGGTGTGAATTCTCATGTGGGAATTAAGGCTTTCTTTACTTATAAAACTGTCCCCACACTGAGTGCAAGTGAAAGGTCTTTCTGCAGTGTGAACTCTCATGTGGACTTTCATGTTGTGTTTTTTAGTAAAATTCCTTCCACATTGAGGGCAGGTGAAAGGTTTCTCTCCGGTGTGAATTCTCATGTGGGCTTTAAGGCTTTGATTACATGTAAAACTGTGTCCACACTGAGTGCAAGTGAAAGGCTTCTCTCCAGTGTGAACTCTCATGTGGACTTTCATGTTTTGTTTTTCAGCAAAACTCTTTCCACACTGAGTGCAAGTGAAAGGTCTCTCTGCAGTGTGAACTCTCATGTGGACTTTAATGTTTTGTTTTTGAGTGAATCTCTTTCCACACTGAGGGCAGGTGAAAGGCTTCTCTCCGGTGTGAACTCTCAAGTGAACCGTGAGGACTGTTTTGTTTACGCAACTCTTTCCACAGTGATAGCACATGTTAGGCTTTTCTCCGATGTGAATTTTGACATGATTCTTAAGCTGTTTCTTGTCTGTGAAACTCCTTTCACACTGATGACATATGTTCTCTCTTGAGTGAATTCTCATGTGATGATAAAGGTTTACTTTACTTCTGAAATTCTTTCCACACTGATCACATGTGAACAGCTTCTCTCCAACGTGAGCTCTCAAGTGAGTCTTAAGACATTCTTGAGCTCGGTTTCCTGAAGAAGTCTTTGTGGATTTTTCCGCAGTCATGAAATCAAGTTTCTTACACCGATCTTTCTCTTCTGCTTCATTCATTTCTTGACTCTCCTCTTTCAGTGCTATCATGTCTAAAGTGAAAAAGACAAATACAAATTAACACCAGCTTAATGGTACAAAGCAACAGACATCCAAACCAATCTGAAAGCATCAGAGCCAGCAACATTTTTGCTAGATCCTATACTAACTAAACTACTGAAGGAGCAGTTACCTATTATCTCAGAGTCATAGAGTCAACTATGCTTAGTTTTGCAAAGAAATAGTACTTAAATCAGATTAGCCCCATCTTAGCACAGGAACATACTAGTGTAAATTCCTTTCGATATGTGGACATCATGGATACACACAGACAAAACAAGAACTTAGACACACTGGAACACCGATACAACAGCGGGAACATACACATGCTCGCACACACATCTTACTTGTTATATTTCTTAATATATGGGGTAATGTTTTACCTCTGAGTACATTGACTGGATGTGCAGAACATCCTGTATATTATTTCCTGAATCTGTAATATGACCCATCTTTCTTAATAAACTTGAAAATGCTTTGGTTGTACACTGTCTTTCTGTGTCTGCTTTATTGCACACTGCTGCTCCACACCACAGGAGTTTGACTCAACCGTTCCCAATTGATGACTAATAGCATAGAGATAATAAACGGTCTATCTAAAAGTGAATCTAACACTTACTTATTAAGTTACATCTTTCTTCCAATGCTATTAGCTCTTTTGACTATATAGACTAGGGATGTGCATCTCATGACTCGGGCCGATACGATACGCATCTCGATGCATAGCCAACGATACGATACATTAAAGATACATATGAAGCAGCTACCGATGCTATGCGATACGATTCACCCCTATTACGATGCAGTGCGATCCGATTCTGATTCGATTCGATTCAACACAATGCAATACGATGCAATGGAGAAAATATGATCACTTTTAATGCCTCAAGGCCTGTTTCATAAAACAAGTTTACCAAATAAGCCAGGCTTATTTCAGTTA